ACAGATGTGGGAAGGGAGTGTGGAATTATTAAGGAATAGTAAGGAGACCTATTATGGGACGGCAAGTGCGGTATTATTATGGGATGCACAGAGATGGGGGGAGCCCACGAGGCCTATGAGCGGCTATGGGGGTCCCGCTGCGCAGCTATAGGAGGTATTATGGGATGGCAGGGTGCGGTGAGAGCCGTTGGAGGCCGATGGGGGGGGTTATTATGGGATGGCAGAACGGTTATGGGGGACGTGAGGGGCTTATTACGGGGCGGAGGGGGCTCGTTTGAGGGCCGCGGTTGCTACTGGGGTCATTATGGGATGGCAGCACGACTACGGGCCGCATTAAGGGCCACGGAAAAGAACATACAGGGAGAAATCGCTATGAGGTGTTATTATGGGATAGGGGCTTCCCTACAGCGATCAACATGGCGGCCTGGGGGGGGGCTGGGCTGACCTGCGGCCGTGCGGCGCCCACCACGATGTCCGCGAGGCGCTGAGGGGTGCGGGGATCGGCGAAGGCCTCCCGGAGCCGAGCGGTGGCCTAAAGAGAAGGAAGGGAGGTGGAATGGAGGTCAGCAGGGCCACGCGAGCCCGCGGCCGCCCGCCGCCCGTTACCTGCTGTATCACGGCGTTGTCCGGTTCCAGGAGCTGCTCCAGCACCGCGCGCAGCTCGGGGGCCGCCATTTTGGAAAGAGGGCGCTTCAGGACAAAGCGGACGTTATGAAGCCGAGCGTCACGCGCAGCGGCGAATGCTGAGACGCGATTGGCTCGGCTAAGCGGAAGTGGCGCTCAGGCGGTTCCTTCTTAAAGGGGCAACGGCAAACACACAGCGGCGTCCCCACCCGCGTCTTAAATGGGCAACGGCATTAAGCGCCATCGCGCAGGTTCGAGTGCCGCCATCAGCGCGGCAGCTCGGCCTCCCCCAAATCCCTCCCCCCAGTGACGTCATCAACGACACCACCCGTGACATCACACAGACGCTTTAATTCGTTGGGGTACATGCAAACATGGGGACTTGGAAAAGGGTGGAAGAGGGCGTCAGTATGGGCGGGGTCGTCGACGCGGGCGGAGGGCGGGGCCTGCCGTTAGCCCCGCCCCTCGCCCCGCCTGGCCCCGCCCCCTCGAAGGGCTAGCACCAGGTGCAGCACGGAGCCGCCCTGGATCTTGTAGTCGGCCGCCGTCTTCTCGTCGTTCCTTGAAGGGGCGGAGCCAAAAGGTGGGGGCGGGGCCTCTCAAGCAAGCCACGCCCCCTCCCCATCCCCTTTCTGCTCCAATCCGAACGGCTATTTCAACTGCAAGCCCTCAACCAGCTGCACCCGTACCACCCCAAAACCGACACTTAATGGCGACGCTGCCACTTTAAGACTCCACCACCCCCCGCGGCCCGCCCCCGCGGGCGCGGCGGGCGGCGGGGGGGGCCCCCCCGGCCTTCAAACCACGCCCAGCACCGACCGCCACGCCCCGCCCACTTTCCGCCGGTGCCGTAGGAGGCACGCTCAGGCCACGCCCCCTCTCACCCCGCCCATCAATCAACGCGCTCTATTTCCGCCCTACGCCCCGCCCACTTCCGCCCCGAGCCCCTCCCCTTTACATCTGCTTCCCGCTGTAGATGAGCCGCTGCTGCTGGGGCGGGATCCCTTCCTTCTCCTCCACGCGCTCCTTGATGCGCTCCACCTGCGCACGGCATTATTATGGGATGGAGGGACCCCC